ATCGGAAGAATAGTTCTATTTAGGGATGTGGAAACTTGTAGTGGTATTAATTAAAGTGCCAGAATGAACTGTTTACTGTAGCTATAAAGTACTTTGCAAATATGGCCGTTTATTGACTGAATACTATCTTGATTGGGAGGTAAATGGAAAACACTTGCATCTATCAAGCCATGAAAGCACTTTTTACTGCGTTCTTTAAGCAGTTTCATGTTTGCTCACCTGCTACCGTTAGTCATCTCATGGGCACAGTTGAACATGCCTACCAGTGCTTTCTTTTCATCAATACGAGAGAGCGTAATGATAACAGAGGTGTAGGTGATGATCAGATCCAAGTAGTTTTTGGTGAAGTCAAAGTTGATTGCCTGAAATTAAAAAATAGTTCACTCGTGTGAAATTTGAGCTTATACAATATAAGAGGATAAGGGTAATCACCTTTATTTGGCCAAGTATGTTACACACACAAAGAATTTGTCTCCGGCACAGAACCGAGGCAGCCATCTGTGGCGCCAACTCACACTGATGGCTCTAACCATCGGGGGCAACTTGGGGGTTCAGTGTCTTGCCCAAGGACACTTCGACATGTGGACTGCAGACACTGAGATTCGAACCCCCAAAACTCCGGTGTGTGCGGTTGTTTTTATCTTTTTTTTATGTAAAACAATCACAAGCCAGTCAGTAAATACATACAAGATCAAAGTGGCATTGACAGGCATCGATGGTGTTCAGCAACTCATAAACGTGGTCCTGAGTGAAGAGGAGAGAAGGATTAGATTATAAAACAAAGATCACACAACAACAGAACATTTAAATAAGCTTTTTCCTAAACACATTATCATCGTTGGATTCCTGTAGTAATCATTTACATGCTCCTACAGTATGACATGATGATTGAATTACTCTCAGTCTTACATCTACTGATGATGCCTTGGCCTGGTTGCTGCCTCCATCACAGAAATGCAAATGTACAGGGAGGTGTAACAATTTCTGTCAAACCTCAGTGAGCCAAATGTCCTTGAGATTTGGAATAAAATCAATTATTTGCCTATATTAAAATAAACCACTGTATATGTAAATGTGTTCTGGGAACCAAACTAAATACAATAATGGATGTATGGAAGGAAGGAAACTCTCTTAATTGCAACCATCACCACTATGTGGTATTTTTAGATTTGTGCTTTCATGTTGAAAGAATAATGCATTGATATTTTTGTTTTGCTGTTTTAAAGGTTTTGATAATGTAGATAGTATGTTTGACTTTAGCAACATACTGTAGGAACAAATATGACATTTAAAACATGAATAGGAGAAAGAAAAGGGGGGAGGAAAGAAATAGGAAGAGTAGATCACCCTGAATTCTATGACATCCAGGAAAGAGTCATAGTAGCTTGACGTGGCTGCCAACACTTCAGATTTTTGTCGCTGGATGCTCGTCAAATGTTGCTGCAATAAGCAATGATGACAACAATTCATTACAGGTCAGCTGTGAGGTGACACATGAAAAGTGAAGGACAGTCTTACTTGCAATTCTTCCTTCTTTGTGTGAGTTTATTAGCTCCAGTTAATATTTAACTAAACCAATCAGTCCCCAGATTATTAAAAATAAATAAGTATATAAACATAATAACAGAATAACAGAATTGTGGCCAATCCAAAACAAAAACGCCACAACATGAATATTTTAAAGATGCATAGTAATAACACTAATCTCACTTTTCCAGTAGTCGGTTATTTCAAAATAAACTTTTGCTTTCTTGTAATCTTGGTTTCAGTAGATCATGTACTTTAATAATCCTTTATTGACTGATTGACTTTTTGTGTCAAGATGTCAAAACAATATTTTTGTGAACACAAAAAAAAAAAAAAAAAAAAAAAAAAAAAAAAAAAAAAAACTGTGAAAAATGTACTAACACAAGGTGATAAAATAATTAAACTCACACAAAGGCTGCTTCATACTTACAATGGTTCCTCTGAAGTCAATGTTGGGGAATTTCTTGTTGATGTACTTGACTGCAGACTCCATGGTTTTATCTGTCAGGACAGACGGCCGCTGCTTTGGGTCTGCACATGTCTGTAACACAAGTGGGAAATTATAAAGATGTGAGGATGTGATTAGTTTCCACATCATATTCTTTTCAGCATTTTTGACAGATTTCTATGTCCTGAGGAGATAACTTGTGGGTCTCACAGACAGGATTTGCTTATGACTTATTTTTTATTTTATTTTGTTACATTTAGCACTCAGCCAGCGGTTAGAAAAACAAGCTTGTCAGCAGAAAGTCACCAAATCCTCAGACTGACAAGCTCAAACCTGGGCAGAGTAAATAATAATGCTCTCTCTACTTCCCTCAACAACCACCCTGGAGGTGACCGTGAGCAGAACAGTTAACAGTTAGAGGCTGACACTAGGAGACTGACTGGGAGCTCCCATGTGACAGCTGCAAAAAGAAAACAAATGCATGCATGCTCAGCAAATCTTCACTAGACAAGGTTTTAAAATGACTCAAAATAACCCTTTTCCAGTTGTCTTCCAGATAAACACAGACAGACAGTACGTCCATGCACGCTCTTATAATGTTATAGAGAGGAGATGTTTCTCTGTGAATGTACACAGTAAACAATACAGAATCTATTATTTTATAACTAGAGTGCCACTTCCTGCATGTCTCACACAGAGATGCCTGGCATGTCAAAATAAACCAGTCTCTGTATCTACAGTTATGAGCAGGTTAAATGAATCTGTCTGTCTGATTCTTTCATTATATTTTTCTGCTGTGTAGGTTTCACAGCATGCAGTTCAGAGTAACTGAAATTTGAGGTGACTGACAGCTCAGACCGACTTCCTGTTTGCACTTCCTCTTAGGAGAAATAAGTTCTGTTGCAGTTGGAAGACAGTGCTGCCTACTGTATAGCATATGGCTCAGCCAGATAAACACAAACTACTTTTATAAACAATTACATAGTTGTAGTTATAAAAAGTTGGTAGTTTGCATCAATATTGGATGTATAGCACTCCTTAGTACTTTGTGTTGCCAGTACAAATAATTGGTCAAGTTTTCATTCCCTTTTAACAGTTCTATAGAAACTGAAACTAGAATTACCGCATTCATTTCTAAATATCTGATTTTGGTTGATTTTTAAGCAGCAGCAAATAATTACACACTGATATGCACACATTTATCTTTATATTGTGCAGGAACTTTATACACATTTTTAGAAAATTACTAAGGGACAACATGAGCAACAAGAGCCAAGTTCCTTATTTCTCGTCTCTGCTTGCTTCTCTAAATCTATGTCAACTTCCCTCACCTTCTTAATGTAGTTCATACGTATCAGCACCCCTTTCCCTCTGTCATTGAGGATGGTGAGCTTTTCGGCCAGTTTCTGTTGGTACCCCATGGCTCCAGACCCACTAAACCTTGGCCTCCGTTCGTGCTTTGGCCTCCCGGTCCTGAGTAGCAGCTGAACCCACGGAAACAAGTGTACCCGGGACCTCGCCCTGACACTAGGTCACATGGGGCTCATGAGTGGAGGTGGAGCCATGAGCTGTATAGGAGCACCGAGTATTAAAATCACCCTCATACTGTAATGATGTCAAAATTTATATAATTAGGTAAAAAGTAAAATGAAAAACTTCATACAAAAAAAGAAAAGGTGTTGTTTTAAAAATACTGTTACATTAGATTTACAATCACATTTTGAGAATTTACATTCACAATAGTTTATATTATCACTTTGATATGATGCTGCAGAGAAAACATATATATTATTATGTACAGGAATGGCAAATGAATGTTTCTGCTCTGTTCAACTTACACTGTCTTTTTCATTGTGTGCCCTTTCAGCTACTTCCTCTACCTCCTAAAAATAGACAAAAATAATCCTGTGAACAGAGATGGTCGAAATGTTATGTTATTCTCTTATTTACCACAAGATGGCAGTTTTTGCCTACTGAAGCTCTCTAGCTCAGTGAATGTGTCAGGGATCGATTATGTAACAGTGTCAAGTGACACAACTGGCAAAATTCTGAGGAATGAACTATTTTGCAAAAATGACTTGGCCCACATAGTAACAAACACAGCCAACCTGAATAACACAACACAATATAGAATAAGACATTTAGGGTCTATGAACATGATTCACCACGTCTTTGTCCAACCAGTTACAGTAACTGTAAAGTAACTCAGTAAAATAATGAGGAACAAATATTGGCACTCAGTTCTGGCAAAAAGCCTAGGATTACTTTGGTGAGATACATTACTGTAACACTATGCAACTTTTGTAAAACAAAGGCCACTGTGACAACAAGTGATAATTACCTGTACACAATAACTGCACTTTAAATTTATTTTCATTTCCCAGAATTATCCTCATTCGGTTTTTTTAGAAACACAATAATTTGGTGACTTGGTCAGGAATGGTGTGTTTACTTCTGGTTTAAGTTTTGCAATAGTTTTCAGAGGTTTGTTGCCATGTGTTCATGTTTTGAATTTCACTACCAGCTGGAAATCTGCAATGGACAGTGTCATTACTTTGACATTAAGCTGTTCTCATGTGGAGCATAATTAGTGAGGCTAAAGTCTTTCTCATGTAAACTAGAAAGGCCCCAACTTATTCGGCAACCAAGTGCCATTTCTGGTTTTCCTGCAAAATCCCCAGCAGCTTCAGTAAAGTATAAATTGAAGAGTGCAGTGTAGAGTACTGTAGAGCCCACAGAGTGATTTGTAGTCAGTGTCACTAAAGTCAACCAGAGCAAGTGCAGCACTAAGCAAAGTGATGACTGGTGTTAAATGGACTTGAAGAAATAATCCGTTTATTATTTCCCTACTGGGAGAAGATCGGAGAGTGGCAGACATATTAACAAAGCTGTCTGGGAAATCAGACAAGAAGATGTGGGAGTAAGAGGAGCAGAAGGGGGAGGGGCAGGGAATGGGGTGAGATGAGGGTGGGAGTAACAATTTTTATAAATATCTTAAACTCTGTGAACCATGTAAAAAAAAAAATATAGCCAGGTCAATGTGAAAAAAAGAGGTGCCCAAAGGTTTGCTTGTCCACATTGATGAATGCTAACATTGTCCCATGTGTACTGAAGTGTTTGCTAACAAGTCATTACAGTATTTCAACTTAAACATTACATCAATACTGTGTTCACAATTTGTTTCTGCTGCCCCCAAGTGGCAAAATAAAATCAGTTATTGCCTGCAGGTTTAGTAAACTACTTGTAAACAATGCAAGTTATTTGCAAGATATGTCTGAGTAAACACTCCTTCATATTTTAAGATTATGCGTCCCTGTAGCTCAAGCGTGTTTAGTCTCTTTGAGACGTGGATGGTTTGGAAACCTCATCCCACACACTTTTCCCACGTCACATAGGGGGCATTTGTGTCTGTAACTTTCCAAAAACAATGATCTGACATCCCCACCTATTTCATGTGGTGATTATTCAGCTGTGTAGAGGTGATGGAGCAGCCAGACATTTTACTTCTCTCTCTCCACCTCTCCTTTTTTATTACACAGCTATCTGTAGTACATGTAGCATGAACAACTGAGTACAATAATATGAACACCTTCCCAGAAAGACTGTCTAAAAATGTTTACAATTATTCCCATATTTAAATGATATGCTATTTACCCTTCTCTGTACCAGTCGCCTTTTCCCTCTGCCTTCCAAAATGTGGAGTCCTGCGCTGTGAGATTGGTGGCAGAAGTACTGTACGTACCATGGACACTACTTTTTTGGTTCTGAGCACACTATACAGTAGAGACATTTACACACACACAAGAGTACTATGTAGTAAATAGGAAGGGATTTCAGACAATGCTATAAACTCACCCAGCTACAACAAGCTAATCATAAGCTTAGTTAGCAGAAAACTGTGACAGAAAAACAAAATTTTACAAAATTTACAGTGTCTACACAGAATCCTCCAACAAAATAATATTTGCTTGTAAAAAAATTTGTTAAACTACAGTTTTAACTGCTATGGAACTGTGCCAGGAGGGGTTGCTATTAGCATCACAACACCCAGCTGAAAGCAACTGCTGGTGGCAACATACAAGCTGCTGTCAAGAGCAGTGTTGGAAGAAGTACTCAAATTGTTAACTTAAGTAGAAGTATAAAATTATTAGAATTTAAAAGTATTTAAAGTAGCAAAAGTAACAATACTCATAATGCAGAATGGCATGTATAACATACTGTTAGACTAAATTTATTGTGTTCACCATTTTAATGTTGCAGCTGAGTTGAACTATCTGCTGGGTAGCTTGTGAATGGGCCACTGAGGATCAATAAAGTTTGATTATAGTGTCTTTTGTTCTATTAATCTGATATTGAAAAGTTATCAAATACATGAAGTGAGTTAAAAGTACAACACTTGCCTCTAAAACGCAGCGAAGTCAGAAAATGGAAATACCTGTGTAAAGTACAGATACCTCAAACCTGTGCTTAACTACAGTACTTGAGTTCCAGTACTTCCACCACTGATCACGAGAACAAATACTGTACCAGGCCTGTAACTATCGCTGAGTTTTGGGTTTCACTAACTTTGGCCCTCTAATAAATTAAATATCTGGAATTTGTCTTTCAAGAAAATTTGAGTAAATTTGCTGCCCCCACCCCCCTTCCCCCCCCAGCTATCACATCATGCACAGTGTGTAATTACACATCCAAATGGTTAAGGATACATAGGGGTTAAGAGACGGCATTCTTCATTGGCACGTTGGGACATGGTACAGAGCCAGAAAGGAAAACAAGACATTGAGCTTAATATAAAGCCCAGGTGAAAATAGTTTAATGTTGCTGACAGACAGCAACAGCATCCTATCCCCTTTACAGAATAAAGGTAGCATGAATTGAATGTGATGACTGAAAACACATGCATACTTATCAAAATTAATATGACTGATATCGGTTTAGAATTAGATGTGCTTTTTTTGGCCGGTAAATTACAAGGAAACAGACATTTTTAAAAGTCATTTGTTATGGTGGCTGGATTTTTGCTACACTTATGCTCCATTCCCAAGAGGACTGAGGTCTGTGCTCTTTTCAGCTGGTAGGAGCTAGATGGTCTAGTCCAGTACCGGCTTTGTTCAAACACAATAGTGTTTTGTATCAGTGTACAAATTTAATTCTGTGTGTTACTGAAGAGATTGGTGTCCACAACAAAGACGTCAGTAGTATCTACCATGGCACGTCTTGCACTATATACAGTATTATGGCCTACAACAGTTCCACTGTACAAAAAAAGCAGCAAGTAAAACATACTTTTAATATTTGTTTTTGTTAGGAAGCCTGAAAGTTTTCACCCCATTTATAGTGAAAAACCAGCTCCAGTTCTGTGGTGTTGTGAGGTGTCTGGCCAGGTTTCCTGAAACAACCAACCCCCGTGGCAAACAAAGTAAGAAGCTGTGTCAAGACTGGCAGAGACCACCACTGTTCTTGGCAGTAATGTGATTTGTTCACAGTAATTACCTTAATGTCTCTGTGATAATGTCAAGTACTCTTTTTTATGTTACATAAGCCAAAAAGGTTCAGATCACAAGCACAAATTAAGCTGCAGTAATATAAAATGCAACATTTATGCAAATTTATGCAACATTTTCTGTGAACATACAAACAAGTACCCAAACTCTGGAAAAAGACCAGTAATATTCCAGGCACAGCCGTCCAGATCCAGTTAAAAAAAGAGCCTTTGTTGCACTGGGTGACATGTTTCTTCATTGCACTGATCATAGGTGCTGAAGCTTTTTCCCCAAGTCAATCCAATGTAAATAATATAAATAAATAAAGGGATATATATATTTATGGATGTGTACTTACTGTAGCTAGGTATAATCATGTCACTCATATCTTTATACATCATAGTAAATATCATAATTATAGTGTATTTGCAGGGACAACAATTCCTACTATGTGTCCTTTGTAATTCAACCCATCTGTCAATGAGATAGATAGATATTTATCTCTGCAGTACCAAAGATTAACTAGTCCTGGAAACTAATACAGTATTTTAATACGAATGCTGCTGGATTTATAATCTACACAGAAGCTGAGCCAGTAGTTTTCTCTTTTCAGGATTTCATGTCAATCTGACAGTGAAATGCAATAGCTTACAAATGCTGAAAAGGCAGGTGAGAGCAGGAGGAGAGAGATTGAAACTGACAATATAGATGGAAGAGACAAGGTGAGAAAAGGAAAAACTTTACAGCAAAAAGAGAGAGTAACCAAATGATCTGAATGACCTGAGGCTGGTTTCCTCAGATTATAGGTGTATCTATACACCAGAACTGCCTTCTTACTTTGTTTGATAATTACAAAGTGAACTGAGGGAGGGTGGAGGAACTCTGTTTTTTTTTTTTAACAATACAGTAAGCAAGGCATGTGCGCACACACACACACACACCTCCTTTTGTCATATACCAGGTGACTAATCAGACTTGCATTCATTTACAGGACTTATCCCAACCAGAACCACTACTCACCCAACACTTAACCAAAGCAGACACTTACTGTAACCTTACATCCTGTTATTCCTGTAAAATCTGATGAACTACATTGTGGGGATCAGGCTCTAGTCTCCACAAAGTTAATAACTCCAAGATTTTGGTCTGCACAAGTATAGAAAAGCAAGGCCATACACACACACACACACACACACACACACACATATCAGAATGCTACAAGATGTGCTGGTGGGCAGATCAAGTAATTGCACAGCAGAGTGACATTCACAGACCTGTAAATCCAATACCTGGCAAAGCTTCACACAAACATCCGAGAAAGAGGCAGACAGAACCAGGGTCACTGGCAGAAAGACATCACAAAGTGGAACTGAAGGTCAGGGCACTGAAATGGTGGGAGGAGGAGTGGCAGTACCATTTGAA